GATGGCTAAAAACCTTGTTTGTGTATGGAGTGGGATTCCTTATGATTGTGGGTCTGCTGTTCTGCTGTGTGTCCAGTTGTTGTGCCCTCTTCCACTGGGTATGTACCAAAGCCATGAGCCCAGCAAAGATATTATATATAAGAAAGGGTGGTGTTAACCAAGATGAAAAGCATATGAACATGTTAAACAATGAATAATGAGCCATGTAAGATAATTATCTTCAGGCTCAAAGGGGGGAACTGATAAAGAAAAGAACCAGAAAACAACCCTATAATCATGTAAAGCTAGGCTTCTGTCTTTTTTCTATGCTTATCTGTCTTCTCTCTAAGGTTATGGGTAGAAGGAATGTGAACTGTGTGTAACCTGTACTCCCCGTTTTGGGGAAAGAATTCCTTATACAGATAAGCCTCCATGTTCGTACCTACCCCAGAACTTCAAACAGACTGGGTTAACCGGCTTGAACTGGAAGAGATATCACACTGTATGTTGAACCAGGCTATAAAAGCCCATCTCTGTTCTTTGTTCGGGGCTTCGCCATTTTCCTCTGTGAAGGAATTGGTGAGCCCTTCAGCTGTCATACTTGCTAGCATTAAAGTGCCTCACTTTATCAAAGAGCCACGACTCTGTGTTTTGTTTGGCTAATACAGAAGTCCAGGGAAGGCTACCCTCCTAACCCTAGATGGGAGGGGAAACCTTTTTCCCTAACAGAATAAAAGTCCACACTTTTCTACTTGTTAGAACAGAAGTCCAGAATACATAAGGCACTTCCTAGGCATTAGGAAAACAATAGAATAACACTAGGTCTGTATGGACTAGAAAAAGGTTAAAAGCAAGAAGTCATGGGTGGCAAATTGTCTGGCTGCCTTAACCAACTGGCACCCTCTCAAGCCATGCAGGATTTTGCAGCAAGTGTGGCTCAGTTTCCCCATCCCACCAATAATCATTTAGTTCTACATTTGCTAATTTCCTGTCGTGACTCCAACCAAGTCATTAATAGTCTCACAAAAGAGTCTGGTGAACCAGGAGCCTAGTGACTCCAACAAAGGGTCAACAGTCCCAGAGCCCCACATGGCCCTGACCCCCTTGCTCCAAAGTCCTTACTATCTCCAGGGCTGCAGAAGGTAGCAGAACCCAGGCATACCCACTACAGTCTAGGGACCCTGTACATATCTGCTAGAACAAGTTCCTCCCAATCCCTCACTACTTCCTACCTCATCTCTCCTGGAGGCTTTTCCCAGACTCACATTTCAATGCTTCCACTCTGGAAAGCCAACTTCCTGGGCAGCTGCTTACCAGTCTGTGACTGAAAAAGTCTCTCCTCCGTAGCCCCCTCAGCCTCTGAGAGCCACAGCTGTCCTCTAGTCTGCAGCCTTTTGATCTCCCCAGCAATTAGTCTCAGCTGAGGAGACAGCTAGTCTCCCTGTTAACCCCTTAGTGGCTGGAGTAGCATGGGGGTCTATTTGACCCATGACAATTTGCTTTTAATTTTTTCCCCTAGTACATACAGACCCAGTGCTAATCTATTGTTTTGCTAATGCCCAGGAAGTGGCTTATAGGTTCTAGACTTCAAGATGGCTAAGAGTAAATGATAACAATAGTTTTCATTAATCAATACAAATATTTGTAAAGTTCCTAATGAGCTGGGACTGCTGTAGTAAAAAGACAAGAAATAATCTCATGAACAAGAGCACACATAATGCTAACTTCATAAAAGAAACATCTCATGTTTTCAGTGAGACCATTCTGCATCCTTGTAGGAAGAGCCCTTCTATCTGAAAGCCCCCTTGAATCTCCATCTCCATGGGTTAGAGAAAAATGCAGACCTCTGACATTTTTCATCTTGCTTCCCAGAGTAACCAGTGATTCAGTAGTGTTCATATATTTGGACCTTGTCTGTTTCCGACTGTGAGATTTCCAATTCCCATTATGTTTATGGACAAATAAAGCTCACTGAACCTCTGTGAGCTAGTTGTTTGTGTCCTTATTTTACATCATTTTACAGTGATGCTAATGCTACCTGCATGTCTCTCTGTACATTCTGTTCTCCCTTTCATTACTTTAAGCAAAAGTCATTCCATCCTGGAGAACAGACTGAGGCAGAAGTCAGAGAAAAGATGAAATAACAGAAATGCTGCTGCATTTAATGAACTTTTACTATTACAGGATACATTCTGACATGCAGTCTCTAATTGTTGCCCACAGAGGATTATTTAAAAATAAACTCAAACGTGTTTGGGTTCCTGTCAAAAGATTGCATTAGATGAAGAGTGAAAATCTGTCACCTCTTTCTCACATTTTCACTTCTTTAAATTAGCTTTAAATAAGCAACACAGAAAACTCCAATAAAAACGAGTGAACTGCCTTGGCCAAGGAAATTCTGAATGAAGATGACTGTTCTCTCAGATGCTGGCATGTTTTCCTGCCCTCTCTGACCCAAATATTGTAATCTTCTTCTCATTATTATTGTTGCAGCTTTGCCAAGCAGGAGCAGATTCTTAAGGCTTTGCAGTGGGTCTGATTCCTGGGGGAAGAGAAATTGATGCAGCTTTTGGCAACTTTCTTCAAATCCATTTTTGTTTTCAAAATGTACCCAAGTCCTGTTTCCCTTGAGCAGAGGTGATAACCTCCAAGCTGCACACAGGCAATTCCACTTGCAGACATCCCAGCTAAGATATTTCTCTGTCCACTTCTGTAGTCAGAAAATAAGCTCTCTCTCTGTTCTGCCCTAGGCACGCTGTCTGGATCCTGCATATCTCATCTGAGAAACTTCGTAGACCTCATTGGGCATGTCTACACTGCAGCTGGGTCTCTGCACTGACCCAGTTTCTCACAGCAGGTAGACAGACTCATGCTAGCAGGGGTAGCAAGCGCACTAAAATTAGCAGTGTGGCCCGGGCAGCAGCTTGGGCTCTACAGCTTGTCCATCCCCTGGGTCTGAGCTAGCCTGAATCTCCACCAGAGACACAACGTCCACACTGCTATTTCTAGCCCGAGCCCTGTCACCACAGTCTGTCTGCTCAGGCTGGGACGCTCACTCCCAGCTGTAGTCTAGACTTACCCTGTGTTCTGTGTTTGTACAGCCCCCCATGCAATGGAGTCCAGCTCTGTGACTGGGGCTCCTTGGTGCTATGGCAATATAAATAATAATAGCAACAGACCAGCTCACTTACAGCTACTGGGCCTGGCGCTGGCTTCTGTGTGAATCTCAACCCAACTACATGTTGAACCAACAATCATCTTAACAACCAAGATGTGGTTACTGTATTGAAAGACCTTATAGGGCCTTTTCGATAAGGCCTTTTCAGAGAGAAATATTTGTACATCAGCAATTCATAACATTTGTCCTCACCACTTTTGCCACACTTGTAGGTGTAATAAGAGTTAGTAACTCAGAGGGCTTTGGAACATGCTTTCTGGAACTAGAGGAGCCTTGTGTTGTCCTGCTTCACCCTAGCTGTGGGGACAAGCAAGCCAGAAGTGAGCAAGCAGAGCGCTGCCAGAGGATAGCAGAAGTGTCTGAGGTGGGACAGAAGATGTATGGAAACATACACGAAGAATGGGCAGCAGTCACGCTCCTCTTCTGTCAGAGGAGGCCACCCTCTACCAAGGGTTTTGGGAAGCAGGGAGGGACGCTTTGAATCCAGCCAGGGGCCAGGGCTCTCTTGTAGCTCTGTTGGCTCTTACTTTAGTGGTCCAGTCTTGCCTTCCTTACCCAGGAGAAGCCGTCACACCTCACCACTTAAATGAGTAAGGAAAGCAGCACTTGGCCCAGAAAGGAGAGGCACTGAACCAGGAGAATGAGAGGCAATGGAAAGGGCGTCTTCTGTCCCACCTCAGACACTTCTGCTATCCTAACTGTTCACCTCTGGCAGCGCTCTGCTTGCTCACTTCTGGCTTGCTTGTCCCCACAGCTAGGGTGAAGAAGGACAACACAAGGCTCCTCTAGTTCCAGAAAGCATGTTCCAAAGCCCTCTGAGTTACTAACTCTTATTACACCTTCTTTGTGGTCTCCAGAACTTTCCAAAGGTCAGATGCTCCTGCTCTTCCCTCTCAAGGCAGCCCATCCTAGGACATGATTTGTTTTGATCTGAACTCTGCGACAACCCCTGCAGTACATACTCAGGTAACTCAGGGGCCACACACTTTGTAGCTTGTGTAGACCGAGATCATTGCACAAACTAGGGGCTTCTTGCATCCCTCCATTCTCCTCCACTGTGTGCCACTCTCCCATCCCGCTCTATTGCAGGGACTCCCTGTAATTCCCCCAATTTCCCCCTGCCAGGGGTTCTGTTTACCTGCATCCCTCTCACCTCCCATACTGGGGTCCCCCATTCTCCCCTCCTCATGGCAAGGGTTCTGTGGGTCCCCTGTTCTCTCCTTCTCTACAGCAAGGTTTCTCTCAATCCCATTCCCTTCCCCCCCCCAATACTAGGACCCCCCCATTCACCACCTGCATGCTAAGGGCTCTGTGCCCTGTCCCCCATATCAGATTTCCTTAATTTCACTCCCCAACACATACTAGGGTTCTGTAACCCCTTATTTCCTCCCTTCCCCATAACAGAGTCTCCTAGTTCCTCCACCCCATGCCAGGGCTGTATGCACTCTCTCATCTCCCTCTCTCCCCTCATTGTTGTTTTTCTGGGAGATGAGTCATTCAGGGTGGCAACATGTTAAACTCAATTGGGAGGAAAAGCAGAGAAGAGAAGAGGTTCTGTTATGCTGGAAGGTGTTAATAGATGCCATCAGCCAGTGCATGATCGATAGACAATCACAGACGTGTCTGAAGCCGTGACTTTGCTGATGCCAGGAGCTCCATATGTCACCTATGTTCTCCCCTTTGGTTTTCCATTCAGCCCCCCAGCCCCAGCTCAACAGGGCTCTGGCCACTGATGCCTAGAATGTTCCCTGAAATTTTGGAATTGATCAGATGCAGCATTCAAAAGTTAATGACAGACAGACAAATACCATCAAATTGAGTGTACGGCCTCGCAAACTAAGGCAAAATCCCATTACCTTCCCTGGGATGTTTGCCTGAGTATGTAGTGCAGGATCAGGCTCTGTTATTTCATGAACTTCAGACTAAAGGAAAAGGCTACACATTTTTCATCCAATTTGTTTTTTATTTCTGTTTAGTGCGGAGCCTATCGGCTCAGGATGACCAGCTATTGGAATAGTATTCTGTTGTGCAGCGTTACATACTTGCATTCATAGGTCCGCAGGTACATTACCCATCTCTTCTGTACTGTACTATGAAAAACATTGTCGCACACTGGAATGTTTTCGAAGACTTTTATACTCTTTGTAAATGAATGGCCAAATCCCAATCCCATTGAGGGTCAGTGGGAAAATTCTCATGGAAGTCACTGGTGTTAGAACAAAATCCTATCTGTAGAAATAGAATCCATGGGCCAAACTCTGCTTGTCTTACTTGCACAATAATCCCACCCACCTGAGAAAGCGAGAGCAGGAGTCGGCCTTATACCACTTCAGGGGCTTGAGATGAAGAACAAGGGATAGACTGAGGAAGATGCATGATGTTCAGTTAGTCAGATTGTAGGCGTGTGTATACATGTGCTCCATCCAGATGTACGGCCTGATCCTTCTTTGTTGAATTTTTGCTATTAACTTGAATGGGAGCAGGGCCCAATCCTAAGTGGTGCTGAGCATCTGCAACTCAGTCCCATTGACTACTCAGGATTTGGCCTCAGTGACAAAGTAACTGTTATAAACTCATTAACCCATTCAAGCGTGAGTGGTTACACTGTCATAAAATACACTCCTTATCTTTTGACCTTGTCCCTTGCAATGCTCCTGAGATGAGTGTACAGCATAACATTATGTCTACATTTCCAGCATGTATTATTGATGGATTGACCTCTGCAAAGGGAATGCGTATTTAAGACTATGAATACTGCATCCACTTACTGCCATTCATTAAAGGAGAGATCTCAAAGCCCACTTGATTTTTCATCAAGAGCAACAAAGTGAAATCCTATAAAATACAACTGAATGGAAAATTGATCTGGGGAAACAAACATAGCAGCAGTGTCTGCAAAAAGGTGTCGCCAACTGAAATCAAACGTTTTTGGAAAGCTTTACAAGGAAAGGAGTATCAAACTATTCACTTGAAATACAAAAAGCACAGGAATATTTTCAGCAGATACTAGAATAAAATGCACACTGATTACATTATTCTTAAAAAAAAAAAAAAAAGGAAACCATCATTTTCACATAAACAGAAATCACTACCTTCAAGAGCTAATTTAAATTCTACAAAAACATCAACAAAGGTTATCCCTGTACTTAACAATCAAGGTCACACTGCTAATTCACAATAAGGTACCATCTACTCACCATTTTCATCTCCTGCATTTTGCTTTTCTCATGGGTCCACATTCTGATTTAAATGACACAAGCTAATGATACAGCAGTCATAGAAATTCTCAACCAAGACTTTTTTTTTTTACTGCAAATATAGAATGTATGATCATTTTCTATATTTGCTAATCTTCCTTTTAAAATCCTTTTATTCCAACATTAAAGAAAATATGAACACTGAGAACCACACATTCAAATTGGCAATCTCCCTCCTGCTTTCACCCCAGTCCATTTATTAGCATGACAAGTTATAAAAGTGTTGTCTGTGACTATTTTTCAAAATCGATCAATCTGCTGGCTAAACTTTTAAAGGCCCAATCTAATTCCCCTTGCTGTCAATATCAATCTTTCCATTGACTTCACTGGAAATAAATCAGCTTGGGACCCTTAGTACCAAAGCTTGGTTCTATTGGCATTAATGAGAGTTTTGCCATTGACTTCCATGACACCAACATTTGGGCTCTTGGTGACACTAATCCTGCAAAGACTTATGTGCTTAACTTTTAAGTACGTGAGAAGTCCCATTCTACTTAAAGTTAAGTACACGCCTCAGTCATTGTAGGACTGGAGCCAAAGAGACCTGCAGATTCACTTGCCTGCCAAGCTCCAGAAATCCCCTTTCAATGAGCCAAGTAAATTCCTGCCAAAGCCATGAAATTCTCTATCTTCTGCGATTTTTTTTTTCCTTCACACTTTCCCCCGTTTCTCTGACCTCTCAACGTCAGGGAGGCTGTGGTGGGGTGAGAGACTCATGGATGGATTTGGTAGGTTGGGGTTGGATCTGAGCACCAGTCAAGGGTGGACTGTGAACAGGTTTGGCAGCTGGGAGGTAGGGTTAGATCACTGGTTTAGCAGAGAGAAGTTGTTGCAGGCAGGTTCAGCAACTAGCTAGGAGGAGAGTCCATACTGCAGCATAGTCATTTGGGGGTGGTTAGTATCAGGGCGCCATTAACTCACCAGTGATGTGTATCTTCTTTTATATCATCAATCCATGGATTTTCACATTCTTAATTCTGAGATGGAGACAGTGCAGGTAACAGTGGATAAAGAATGTCTAAAGACCTTGAGTTGTAGTTGCTGAGCAACCATGCGATGAAACAACAGAGATGAACTTGGGCTGCAAATTTTGGATCCAAACTTTCCCAGGATTTAGGGTGTCTGGATGTAGGGTCTTGTTTCGTACTCTCATCTGTATCATACTTATTCAACTGCTCTCTGTTAAAAAGAGCCATTACTAAAATAAAGAGCTGCCTCTGATCAAGTGTGTGTATGATAGAGACATGGAGGAGAGGGGGATGGACAGATGACCACACCTAACAAATATGCATATTTCTCAAGTGAATTAAAGTGTACTTTAATTACTGTATACACTAATCATAACAACGATAGTAGAGGGAGGAGACTCAATACAATTTTAGATGTCACATTCAAATAAGCTTTATTGTGGCATTCACAATAATTTACTTTGATGAAATCTGTGGCAAATCCTGAACAAAGTCAAGGAAGCGCTCGGCAAGTACTGCCCTCCACCAAGAAGGTTTTCTTAGTCTCCTAAACTGGTCACTTTTTCCTCTTCCTTAAAAAATGCCTCTTAGAACTTAGTTACCACTTTTGTCAGCCTCCCCTATTTCCAGCCACTAAAATATCTTTGGCCTGATCCCGGGGACTAATTCTTCTGCCACAGCACAGCCTGGAAGATCCAAGTAGCAGTGCTCTAAGTTGTGTCGTCTGCAAAGGCTACTCTGGCAGCCAGGAACCGCAGCAATGTTCTGCAATGTTCATGCCCTCTTTCTGTTGGTAATATCCCTTCCATGTTGCCTTCTCTCGGAAAATCCCCAGCTGGCCAGTTAAATTGCTTTTCCACCTGCTTTGTGCTACTGGAGCTGTGCAAAGGAGGTGGAATGGGACCATGAGCAGGCCCCTTGTATTTAATAGGATGGAAACATGGGACGCCATCTAATGATGCAAATATATTTTCCATTTGAAAATGCTATAGCCATGAACTTATATAGAAGGCTTTTGTGGAGGGTGTGGGGGAAGGTTCTGGCTTTAATAAGCAAAAATTCCCCACTGTAGTATAATACCTAATTAATAATTGTTTGTATGCTAAGTTTTTGCCCACACTAAATTTTATACTTATCTCAGCATATGTTTGATATGGCCACATTTCTCATGAATGGCAAAGCCACAGGTGGGTCATACCAGTCATTTCAAACAAGTCCCAGCAGAGAGAGAGGGATGGATGAGGGGCAGGGGATGACCTCAAAGATGCATAATTATTGTGATTTTTTGTTCATATTTTATCACAGAACAGTGCCAGGGGTCTCCACACTGCATGTATACATATATACTGTGTGTGTGTTATACATCTATCTATAGCCAATGTTAAATTTTACAAGTGAGGGGGCGAAAATAATCCAGAAATTTAATCTTAAATTTTGGGGATAGACTGTATTTGAAAACATTTTGTAGACCATCATGCCACAAGGTAGAAGAGCTTTGGATTATATCATCAAAAAGAACAGATATTCATCAGGATATTTACAATTCACAGCCTTGTGACTGGGCACACCTTGTACTTCACTTCAAACAAGTATTTCACAGTAACGTGTAGCATGATGGGGGCCCTGGGATACTAACTCAGCAGACAGCATCACTTCTACGTTCCCTTATTTTCCATGGTCTAGGAAGTCTATAAGGCCTTGGTCACACAGACTCATAGTGGCTTAACTTAAGATGTGTTTTTAAACTGATTTAGTTAAACTGGTGCAAGTTGTCTTGTATAGACAAGGCCTAAGTTTGACCCTCTGACACCCTAACAGCCTTTCATGATATGACAGCATAATTCTATGTATACTATGAGTTCCCAAGTGTGAACATGGTAATGCACAGCTCTGTAAATACAATCAATACTTCCTATTCTAGAAAGTCCCCATACACCATATTATCATGATAAACCAAAACAGCACCAAAGGAGTAATGGCAGGCTACCAGCCTAAATTGCATTTAGTTTTAAAAATATATTCCTATTTATGTGAACATCAAGGGAATCTGTGTTCCATGCATTTATAGACTTCATAAATAGTTTTGGTGAGAAGAAGTTGTTATAATCTATAATTTTAACCAAAATAGACTCGTCAGCCACAGATCTCGAGGTGCTTTACAAAGGTGGTTGAACAGCATTATTCCCATGTTACAGTTGGGGCAATTGAGACACAGAAGTTAAGTGACTTTACACAGAAAGTTGGTGGCTGATTTGGGAGGAAAGCCCATGACTCCTGACCCTCAGTGCCATTCTTAAACCACTAGTGACTAGTCCATGGCTACCCTATGTGATAAAGCTAAGACTGAATCACTTGGTCAAATTATGTATGTCCTCAATCCTATCAGTTTGAACCATAATTTTATGTAATCAGCTAAACACTTTCCATAAGTACAGTGCATCAAGGGTACTTCTGGTCCCAGTCTGTAAATGAGACAACAGGGCATTGTCATTACTGCAGCACTTTATGGATAGATAAAGACAAGAGCAATACTGTTATTGAACACCACGAGCCAGACCCTGGGCTGTCTTGGGACAGTACAAAGCTCTTCTGGTCCCAGATCCAGGTCCCAGATGACTTCCCCCTGCATAGCGGGACTTGTGGGTTACAACAGCTGCTGTAGAGACTCTTCTACCATCACCACCTCTCCGGGCCCCCAGTGTACGGGGCATAGCTGAGAGAAGGGGGATGGCAAGGGCTCTGTCATGCCCCAAGATCCATGGCTACCAGGGTAACCTTTGGGGCCATTGGCAGCTAGAGCAATTTGAAGCAAGTGGGTTCTAAGTTGAAGTGAGAGCCTGGCCTGGCACAGATCAGCCCAGGAGCAGGGAAGCACCAAGGTGGCATAAAGCCACCTCTGCACAGCCCCCTCCTGAGCTGCACTGTGTGCGCCTCAGCCCCAACTCAGGATCTGGGCCTATGGCTAGGACAAAATCTGGACTTGTCAATATTTTGCATTTTAATGTAACACCAAACTGTTGAATGCTAATTAGAAGCCGCATTTGTTACCTACTGTAGCTACACAGACCCAGGGCACCATCCTAAAATGGTGTCCCTGACCGGAATGACTGTGGTTTTGCAGGAGGATGTTTCTAATGGAGGAGACGGCAACTGAACTCAAATAATACGTTTTCGGGCACTGATTTCTGTTAGGGTTATGAAAGCTGTCATCTCCGATGAATACGTACAGACTTCAAAAGAACTGCCGTGTGTAATGCTGCCTCTATCAACCATCACCAAATTCACAGGTACAGAAAAGTGTATGGAAGCATAAAATGAATAGAGAGGAAAACTAAATACAGAGACACCTAGGCGAGAACACTGGTACTTCCAATGCAGTGGGCAAGGTTCCACGATCTCTCTCCTCTTATATCATCCAATCATATTCACATTGCAGAAATCATTGTTATGGGTCCAATCCTGCAAATGGCTAAGCACCATCACCTGCCATCTTCACAGGATCAGCCCTATGGCTCAGTGGTCATCAGACTCTCTCTTTAGACTCATTTGAGTTTTGGATTTTCCCCTTGCAGCTTTCCTGAGGTAGCAGACCTGGACATCTTCCTTCCTATGTTTCAAAACTTTTAAAGAAGAAGAGGGGAATAAGGAGGACAGACATGAGGAATTATCCTAGCTATTGCGCAAGCAGGCTCAATTTGAAGCATTCCATTACCACAGACAGTGCCACAGCCTCCCACAAAAGCATTCAAAAGTGGAGTTCATTTTTATAAGTATCACCTTGAAAGATATTAAGGACACAGTGTTGGTTTGGTGATTTATACAATGATCCATCACGTCTGGGGGCTGACTCTCCATTGCATTCTGATTCTCTATTGCACCTTGTGTAGTCATTTACACTTGTGCAGAAGGAGCATTCTGATTTGGTAGTATTTTACACCCCATAAATGACTGTACAAAGTCAAGGCTATGGAGCGTCAGACTCTGGATAACACTGACTACTGAGTATAGTGTACTGCTATAGTGAAACATCAGCAGAACGTCTGTGCATGAAAGAGCTTTCAGAAGACAAATCAACCCATTCCTTCTGTTGTTCAGCAAGTTTTTCAGCCAAGCATTTTATTAAAACAGGGTCCACTTTGGAGTCAAATTTATTGGCAAACCAGTGTCCATAATTTATAAGCCACCTTAATTCTGAAGCTCCATAGATGCACACACTGCGAAGATGTGTACCAGTACAAGGAGGATATAAGTGATCCTCCAGATAATTCCATTTTACCAGGCGAGTCTTGCTTTCCAGGTCTGTTATATCTTGAGCTGATCTTGAAATCTCCCCAGGTATTCCAGGCAGACGTGCAAGGGTTGCCCAGAAATGTTCATCTGGAGAATAAGTGTCCTTGGACCATTCAAAAAAATCTTTAGCAAGAGAATTTTCAAAGGTATATTGGATGAATGCTCGACTTAAAACAAAATAGGCACTGCCTACAAAAACCTCAATGTTATGAGGTGGTGGCTCTTTAGAAATGTTGGTTTTTACAGGCATCTGCATGTACTTATAAGGCACTGTCTCAAGTTCATAGTGATATGTGAATCGTTCCCTTTTGCTGCTACTTGGCTTTACGGTCTCCAGCATGTTTCCTCCATTGAGTTTCTTCAAATCAGATACCAATTCAAAGTTTGACCTCAAAGGAAAGTCTTGACCACACAAATTAATAACATACTTCCACGGAAACGACGACCTCATCAAGTCAGACAAACAATTAAAATCTGCTTGGAGCCTAGAAATGTGTGCATATTCCACTGTCTCCAATTTAGATGCAATGAAAATATTGGGGAAGCACTTAGCTAAATTGTCCATAGCACATTTGAAAGTATTAGTGGACTTTTGGTCATAATGGATGCAGTAAATATTTTGATGGCTGTATATTGTGTGTATGAGTCTTTCAACCATTATTGCATCTTTGTGAACAACCAAAGAGTAGGCTAATGGGAAACTTTCCTCCTCCGGGGAAACAGGCTTTAGGTGGTATCCTCTAAGTGTATAATACACCTGACAATCGCTGGTCATAGCTATAACGTCTTCATCTTCTAAATCAATGATGTCGTTTCTTCTTATCTCTAAACTCTTGCCAATTTCACCGGGTTCTTGTTCGTATATATATGAACAGTTAATTTCATACTGGAAGTCGTTTCTAAGATGGGAGTATTTGTTTTTAACATAAGAAGAAGTGCTTAAAAAGTGCTCAACCAAATAAATACCTTTGTGAGGGAATAAGAGTCTTTCAACATTGAGGAGTTTCAGAAGTGCAAGCAGCCACACCGTTAAAAACAGGATCAGGATCTTTTGTCTCATGGGATACTTGAAGGGACACTTATATCTCTTCATTCTGTAGGAAGACAGCAATATAGTGAGATTTTAATCATGAAAGGGTACAGTAAAGATATTCCAGCTTCTGCTAGAAACAAAACCGCATTGATTTGGCTACAGCTTAAAAACAATGATTAGCAGAAAGACAGGGCATTGAAAACACTATTATTTTCTTATATTAAACCTCACTTAGTAGCAGCAGATCATAAGCATGTTAATTCAGGGCCAGATTTTGTCAGCCTTGTTTGCACCAAGCTGTTCCTCATGCTGAAGTAGCATAGTGAAGTCAGTGGAACACTTTGCAGAGTAAGATACTATTCAGCCTGAGTAAGGGTATCTGCATCACTTGATTGATTTGCCAACTCCCTTTCATCTCCACCTGCACGCCCCAAGGAAGAAACCACCAGCAGTCCCTGGTATTGCAGAAGTGCAATTTTCATCTCTGTGCTACTAGGGAGTTGGGCTGAATTTAGCCCCTTGGCTAAAATCCCATTGAATTCAGTTGAAGCAGGATCAGAACCATACAGTTATTTCTTTACAGGTCAGTTAATAGTGGATATTTATTTTGTTCAGATATTTTAAATATTGCTTTTTAAAATTAAAAATAAAGAATTGAAGCCAGTGCTTTAAAAATCAGACAGAGCATCCTCTTTATCGGCAACATTGGGGCTGGCCAATGTGTGGGTGTATAAGCATGGAGGAGGGGTAAGGTACTTCCCCCCAACACCTCCAGGTATGGCTAATCCTTGCACAGAAGACCCTGCCCTCCCTTCAGGGGTAAGGGCTGCTCCCGGATGGTGGCAGCAACTGCTGCAAAGGAAGTGGCGGTGAGATGGGGTCATAACCCTGGCAGCAATGGAGGGGAGCACACAGTGCACCTTTCTGCCTCCTGGAGCTCTGGGAGACTGCTGCAAAGGCACTGCTGAGGTCTAGGTTGTGCAACAGCATATTAAAAGCCACCTGCTATGTAACCACTTTTAAACTTAGGTTTTATTCCAATGAAAGCGAAGTACAATGATCCTTTCTCCAGGTGTTTTTTTTGCTTTCAGCAGCAGAGTGTGAAGAGCATCGTGTCTATTACTGGATTAAAATGAGACAGGACTCAGCATCCAGGTGCGATCTTAGTTATAACTCCATTTTCTCTCTTAATGGAACTACTCATGCATAGAGCAGTCTGCAATGTTTTTTCTCTGAAAGGAGCTGTTTAGCTACCACTGTATGAGTGTGTGGTTCATAGGAAGGCAAAGAGCAGAAGACAGCTTCACTACCTTATGGTCATATGTTTTGCTGAATTTGAAAAATATGAAACTGAACCAGGGTGACCAGATAGCAAATGTGAAAAAATCGGGACGGGGGTGGGGGGTAATAGGAGCCTATAGAAGAAAAAAAACCCAAAATCAGGACTGTCCCTATAAAATCAGGGTATCTGGTCACCCTAAACTGAACAGTCAGCAAAGGATACATGTGCAAACTGCTGTGGCGAGGCCTTCTTCAGGAAATGTGCATAGGAAGTACTATTCAATTCCTGGTTTGCAAAACTGCTACAAGATCAGGAGCACCTCAGCCACAGAATGCGTTGATTAATACACTAATAACTATATAGGTATCGGCAATGAAATAAGATGATTTTGGAATAGCTTTTGAACACAGTGACTAGCCTCAGGATTAGGGGAATCCACAAATGGCATAAAGCCAGTATAACTGTCTCTATACTTCTATCCCCAGCACTCCCCCATGTCATAGGCAGGCTAGAGGTGGGTGGGTGAAAGGAGCTGGTGTCTCGTTGGAGTCCGTTGCATCCGATGAAGTGAGCTGTAGCTCACGAAAGCTTATGCTCAGATAAATTTGTTAGTCTCTAAGGTGCCACAAGTACTCCTTTTCTTTTTGCGAATACAGACTAACACGGCTGCTACTCTGACTCCTAATGACCTATAATTCTGTAGCAACTTGGCCTTAGAGCTTCTCTACATTATCCTAGAGTCCAAAACAACCTCAGTTAGCTCCAGGATTGGGGCAGGGTGTGTAGATGGTTTGTAGCCACTATTTCCTACCTCCTCAGCTAAATTCCTGCACCAGTATAGCTGAACCCAAGTGTCCATCCCTTTGTGCTTCTAATCCTGATCTCCATTACAAGAGCAAACCTCCCATCAAATTCAGTGTGAGTTTATGTGAGAGCAAAATGGGTTCTTTGGTGCACATTTTCAGCCCAGGATTAACTAGAGTCTGTTTTTGCACTCATGATTTTACAAATGCAAAAAATTGCAAAGGATAAAATTGTGGCCCCAATTATAAGTGGGTACAATTAGTCACTTGGATGTCTATGTACCTGCTCTGCAGGTGCAACCATAATTCAGAAGTCCAAGTGACATTTATTGAGGGTGCAAATAATTCAGATGCACTTTTTACACAATATTAGGACGTACTAGTTGTAGGCACAAAATCAAAAGCCAGCAGCTGAAAACCAGGCTCTCTTTGGGTGTCCTTTTTATTTTTATTGTTTTCTTTCTTTCTTCAGGCTGTCTGCTGTTCTTCCCACCTTTTCTTTTCCCTGTATGTCTTTCTCCTCCTTAATTATTTACTTTTTGGTGAAGCTGTGAAGAATTTCTTCAACACTCGCCCCTTCCTCCTTCCCCTCCTCTCCCCCACCCCCCACTTCATGCTCCTTTAAGCTTCCAGTATGAACTGATGCCCTTATTGAGAGCAGGATCTTTGTGTTGATCAGTGACTCACACTGCTGAGCATGTATGCAGCTGTGGTGTTCCCACCTCTTATGGATGCCTATACTGTGTCTGCCAGGTTCCCAGAATTCACTCAAGTCAACAGAACATTGTGAACATCACAGTGAATGGTTCTTGAGGCATGTTAGAGACTAGGGGAGCAGAGAGGTGATCTTTCTGGGAAGATCTTTCACAGGATCTAGACCTAGGTAAGAACTAACAGCCTTTTCTCTCCAACTTTATCAACTGTCTGAAGATTGATTCATAACAAAAACAGACAGGAACAACAAATCTCCATTCACAAAAAGACAAAAGAACATAAGAATGGCCATTTTGGGTCAGACCAATGGTCCACCTAGCCCAGTATCCTGTCTTCTGACACTGAGTGGTGTCAAAAGCTTCAGATGGAATTAATAGAACAGGGCAATTATCGAGTGATCCATCCCCTGCCATCCACTCCCGGCATCTGGCAGTCAGAGCCTTAGGGACACCCAGAGCAATGAACCATTTTGGCTAATAGCCATTGATGGACCTATCCCCCAGAAATTTACCTAATTCTTTTTTTTAACTCAGTTATACTTTTGGCCTTCACAACATCCCCTAGCAATGAGTTCCACAGGTGGATTGTGTGTTGTGTGAAGAAATACTTCCTTATGTTTGTTTTAAACCTGCTGCCTATTAATTTCGTTAGGTGACACCTGGTTCTTGTGTTATGTGAAGGCGTAAATAACACTTTCTTAGTCACTTTCTCCACACCACTCATGCTTTTATAAGCCTCTATCACATTTCCCCATAGTAGTCTCTTTAAAAAGACTGGGACTTTTCAGCTTGGAAAGCTCTCCTCCTATGGAAGCGGTTCCATGCCCCAACTCATTTTTGTTGCCCTTCTCTGTACTTTTTCCAATTCTAATCCTTTTTTTTTTTTTTTTTTTTTTTTGAGATGGAGTGACCAGAACTACATACAGCATTTAAGGTGTGCGTACCATGGATTTCTATACTGACATCATGATATTTTCAGTCTTATTATCTCTCTCTTTCCTAAGGATTCCTAACGTTCTGTTAGCTTTTTTGATGGCTGCACCAACATGCTTTGCTGGCAGCAGTTTGTTTAGCTTCACTTCTTCTCTGAGCTCCTCCCAACTCAAATAAGCCAAGCTTTCCCTTTGCCTACTTAGCTCTTTTCTTAGCCCATGCTCCTGAAGCCAACCCCACTCCAAAGGCTGCTTAGAACCAATGACAGGTTTCAAGCCCTAGTACAGAAGACCTCATGGAGGGAGAAACTGCTGACTCATTTTTGCTTTTCCATGGCAGGAAATGGAACGGATTCTCAAGCTGCATGAATCAGCTCCCCCTATGCCAGCCAACAAACAGCTCACCTGAATTCTCAGAGGTCAGTACATCCTTCACTCTTCAAAAGTACAAGACACTCTGGACACAAGACCTGACAGCCTGACCCAGGCCCTTCCTGATAGGTGATAGAGTCCTGAGCAACTGGTGCCATTCATGACTGAAATAACCAATGCTTTATTAATTAGCATTATGAAGGCATTCTACGCCAACTCAAAATGCTGCATTAAAATGGAAAACAGATTGAGTAAGCCATTCAGCACCAAGACAGGTGTAAAGCAGGCATGTGTCCTGTCTCCTTTTTTGTTTATGCTAGTCATTGACTATGGATTAAAACAATGAGGCAGTGATACATATGGCCTAAAGTGAAACAATTCAAGGCTATTTGATGTAGACTTTGCCGACGACATCACTCTTATCAGTGAAGATGCCAACGGACTATAAAAATGCACAAACCAAGTAAAAGAAGTAATGGAGAAGATACGTTTGAGATACAATGCAAAGAAATGTAAAGTCATGTTAGTGGGGACTATCGGGACAAATATCAAAATTGAAGAAGAGAAACTGGAGAAGGTGGACAATTTTACATATCTTGGAAGTATCATCAGCCAAGATGGTACTAGTTCTGAGGAAAGAAAGAAGAAGAACAAGAAGAATCGAGAAAGCAAACGCTGCATTTGGAAGACTCAAAAACATCTCCCTCAAGACAAAACTGAACATGCACAAAGCAATTGTTATCGCCATCACAACATAAAGCAGTGAGACATGGCAACTTACCAAGAAAGATATGCAAAAGTTGGATGAATTTCATCACAAATGTCTGAGAAGAATATTGGGAATAACATACAGAGATAGGAAGACGAATGAAGAAGTCAGAAAAATGACTGGACAAGGCACCCTCTCACAAATAATGTACAAAAGACGACATAGATGGCTGGGACATGTGCTGAGAATG